ATGAGCCTCGAAGTACTCGCGGGTGTTCTCCCACTGACAGATCGTTTCGCGGAACTGTCCTTCCGGTTTCTTATCCGTTGTGAAGTAATGAACTCATTGGTAATAGAAAACTTTGAGACGCTGCTCGACAGAAATCCTCAAACAAGATTCATGAGTCTCTATTACGAGTACATGGCGCTGGAGATTGGCCCTTCTTCGTTCAATTCCTCTCGTGTTTGCCTCCAAGACTTTTATAGTTCCTCTGTAAATTTTGATCTGACCATGTTGCAAGAAATCCGTGGAATACCAGATCACCATCGGTCGATGGTTGTTCCCTTAATTTTTGCAAACAAGTACCACCAGGTTAGTAACAATAAAAGTTTTTTTCACAGATGGGTCAACTATAAACGCTTCCACTGGATTTGGAGTATTCAACGAATTTCATAGCGCCTCATATCAACTCAAAACCCTGTTCCGTATACGTTGCGGAACTAGCAGCCATATTCTACGCAGTAGAGCAAATTGCCTCACTACCAACTGATCACTATTTTATTTTTACAGATAGCCTTAGCTATCAATGAGGCCGATGAAGCACTCCTCGTATTTGCTGACCAAAATCCGAGCTAAATTGAGTACTTTATCTAACTTCTCCTATACTATCACCTTAGTTTGGATCCCATCTCATTGCTCAATTCCGGGTAATGAGGAAGCGGACTCGCTAGCTAAGGTGGGCGCTATGGAAGGCGATATTTTTGATCGACAAATCGCCTTTGCGGATTTTTTTTCAATTACCCGTCAGCACGTCCTCACCAACTGGCAACAAAAATGGAATGAGAGTGATCTGGGAAGATGGTTACATTCTATTCTCCCACAGGTATCGAACAAGCCATGGTTCAAAGGATTGGACATGAGCCGTGACTTTATACGTGTCATGTCAAGGCTCATGTCTAATCACTACTCGTTAGACTCGCATTTCTTCCGAATCGGGCTCGCAGGCAGCAATTTGTGCGCTTCTGGTAGTGGCTATCACGATATCGACCACGTGCTTTGGTCATGCACCCTCCATTGTGTTGCTAGATCCGAGTTATCCGCATCCATCAGGGCCCGAGGAAAACAACCTTTGCGGGCATCTTGGCGAGCCGAGATCTCGATTATTTTGATTTAATCGATCGATCTGAGGATTTAGTAGTTAGTGTCATGGGATTGCCCCCAGGCCTGCAATCACGCTTACCACTACACCACCGGCGACGCTGATATCACCCATTCGAAGGAAGTCCCCTTTGATAGCGGTAGCTGCTTTTCTCATTTTCATCAAAAATGTTCAATTGATTTTGAGAATTTACAGCACAGTTCCAGTTACAATTGAATAGTAGTATTTATTTGTTTTCGTTGGGAGCATAATTGATATGAAAGCTGGCGTCTGTGGATGAACTTTTGGATTTTTGAACCAAAAGTCAGTCTATTTCTAGGTTAATATTTAAAAAAGGCAGAATAGCCATCTGTAAAAACAACGGCCCCAGACGCAAGACTCATCAAGCATCAGAACACTCCTACATAATCTAACACCAGCATCTTACAGAGATAACTCCCTTTGTCGAATGTCAATGTCAGCGAACGCGGGCGCCCTGCGAAACCTGAAAAATCAACACCAAAAGCCACTGCCCACAAATGGTTGCTCCGCCCACTCCAAATGCTAACCTACACAGCTAAAAAAAGTAGTGTAAATTTCCGTTACTATGATGCACATAAATGGAGCGTCATATATCATACAAGTTTAGATTATAGATCGTGTAAATGTATGAGACATGTCATGCAATATTCCATATATTGTATGCAACTGACCACTTTTGTTTGCAACATTTCTTGCAAGCTGCTAGTTTACGTGAAAAGGAAGTTTACATGTATGAATGTTTAAATGAATGGATGTTTACATTGCCAGTAAAATTCATAATTTTTTGGTGTGTAGATTTAATGCCAAGATTATAGCACCTTATCTCGCTCTCTAGAAATATATGTAAACATAATTCCGTTATAATCGCTTGTCTTTTGACAGATACGCGTATTTCGTCTACTACTTGCAGACTTCATCAGTGCTGCACCAACTCAACACCACTGAAGAATTCATCTTTTATCTACGAGGTAAATACTAATCAATAGGTACTAAAAATCAGCAGGTATCCACTGCCAGGTCACAATTTACCTAACCAGGTACCTAAATGCTACGATGTGTGGTTTTAGGTAGCATGCTAAAGAGTCTCGAGAATCTGTTTCCTTGATCTCTATTAAGCAATGTTGATGGATTATGTTTAAATATTTCTAAACTTTCTGCTACGTCTAGTTTCCAAGGCGTTCGCAGGATATTAATGTTATCCTTTGTCAAATTGTGCCCCTTTTGTAAAGATATGTTCTGCAACCTTGAATTTAAATTCATAATGAAGTCCTTTATCCATCTCTTTGTTAGCTTTTTCTACCTCTGCGATGTGTTCCTTAAACCTTAAACCTCCAAAGTCCTGTAACAAGTGTAAGTGTTGCGTCCAAGATTGGTGAGATTAATCGCGTGTAATCGTATATTTTGTTTTTTTTTTGTTAAATCCAAGAAAAGGTTTAAACACAGACAAACAGACATAACTCATTAAATATTTCTCACTGTAAAACATCGTTGCTAAAACATTACCGCCATCTGTTGAGAATACTGTGGTGGGCACTACACTGAACAGATGGCGGTAGTGTGTAAACGTCAAACGCAAGGAAATTGACTATGAGCGCCACAGGTGACGGTACTACCAACTACGATACTTTCAAATTGTCCGTTAAATGATTGTTCGATGAAAACTTGCGAGAGTTATGTCTGTTTGTCTGTGGTTTAAATGTTTATAAAAGGTAAAACGTCCCAGAATCCCCATGAACGCAGCCAGTAGGAGACATTTCCATATACATTGTAGGACAATGCCACTAGCCACCGCCAGAGCACGCTGTGTGAAGTCATGAATGGATGGCCATAGGGGTGGCGTAATGGAGGCCATTGCGTGGAGAATTCGTGGCACGTACGACGGTTCAACGGTCACGGTTCGGGGCCATCGTCCACCAAGAGGCACAGTCATAAGCCTGGTGATCATTATAGACTACGGTCACATAGCGAAAGTCAAAGCTAAAAATTAATAGTTTGAAGCTAAAGTGCTAAAGTGAGCTAAGTTGGAAGTTTGAAGAAGTTGTAGAGGAAGTTTCCACGTATCATTGGACAGCCAGGTAATTACCATCACCAAGAAAACCCCGAACCAGATCCAACCGTTGTCTAGTGAGATCAGGTTGATAACCGCCATTTCGAATTCTCCTTCGCGCCCACAGGACCTCGCGGTTTTACCGTAACATTTGCGTACTCAACGTATTTTTCCGGAGTCTACCACGCCAATCACCGGTAGTGTGTCCGAATCGCAGTTCGAGAACCTGATCACCATACTCGAGGGGCGTACGGGACAGGTAGAGGCGTTCACCCCTGGCCCAAGAAGGTGATGCGGTACCAGAGGAAGGAAAGGAACGACGACGATGGCAGTGGCAGGTGAAGGGGCCCCGAAGACAAAAGAAGAGTAGTGCTAGCACAAGGTAAGAGTAGACATCTAAGGAAGTGGGAGACCGTCCGTGAAGTGAGTGTCATCAAAGTGAATAAAGTGGGAGTTTGTCTTGAGTGAACTTTGAGTGTTTTCTTGGTTCGCGGAATTATCACGAGCGTGTGCCGACCACGAGCGTGTGCTTGGAGACGGGGGGGGGGGGGGGGGGTCTCATCAGTGCTGAGAGTAACACCGCACTGGCACATTACAGTCCTTTTCGTCTGACCAATGTAGATTTTATTGCAATCTGGCCAAGAGATTTTGTAGACTCCGGCTTTCCCTAAGACATTTATTGAATCTTTTGTTGATCCTAACAGTGACTTCAGCTGATTTGTCCTGCTGCTGAATACTACATCTAGGCCAAAACTTCTAAACTTCGAAATCAATAGTTTGGTAATGTTTTGTCGAAATTCACCGCTACCCGTTTTAAACCCTCAGTTGCTGGAGTAAGAGTTTTTGAAATACGCCTAAAATGATCCCTTGTTCTTTTATCGATTACTGCTTGAATTGTTTTTTCTTAATACCCATTAAGTCTAGCGATTTAAAAAATGTGAGCTATTTCCTTTGATTTGCCTGTATCGCTAAGAGGTAGAGTTTAGGATATAGGAGATAGGAATTTCGCTCACTGTATACATATGTCCGGTACTGTTCATCATGCTTATAGGGAAAATGGATGTAATGTCGGCCTAAGTGCCCCTAATTTGGGCCCATACATAAATTCAGCAATCGACTAAATTTTCAATAGCGACCAAAATATCCATTAGTACCGTCCCAATGACGTGTTCATCTAGATAAAATTGATAAATAACAATAAAGCAATTTCCCCTACACGGGGAAACTCATGACTCATGATTTCATGAACACAGCGTATTTTCATGTTATGAAAATGCACCATGAATAATATTCATGATATCGTGAACAACTTTTGCGTAACGCAGCAAACATTCCCAAAATCATGAATCATCCGAGTTGAAGTCATGAGCTAAATTCATGGGTTTAACTTTTAACCAAAAAATGTAAAAAGATAAAATAAAGCATCAGACTAAATTCGAACCAAGAACTTTGAGATCCTTTAACCCATACTTTGACCACTAGACTATCAGTAATTGTATAAGATGGAAGACAAAAGGTGTATAAGAGATACATATGTAGTGTGGTTTATGAACACGGTTTGCCAAGTACGTGTAACGCTTGTAGCTGTCTTGATTCCACTGTATTATGAAATCATGAATTTCCATGACGAAATCATAAATTATTATTACGATTTCATGGGATGGCAAATTTTTTTTCATTTCATGATTTTTCATTCATGAAAATGGAATCGGATTTGTCTCCGTGTAGTTATTAGAATGCACTATTAAACAAAATTTTATGTTTCCATTGAAAAGATAGAACAAATAAAATAGTTGAACTTACCTCTTTCTTGCAAGTTGCTGCAGAATGACACAGAAAAGAAAGGCTACTAACGATGTATATTATAACCGTGCATGATTCTACGGGACAAAAGTGGTTATTAGTTGAATGATTTTAAACAATACTATATGTACACTGCTAAATATTACCGAGATAGGTACTCCCATCATCATTGATACTTTTCTGTCTGTTGATACACCAGAAGCTTGTAGCAATAAGTAATACAAATTGTTTCATAACTAGTAAGACCGTTGACCATCCAAATATTCCATTAATTATCATAAAACATTTCCATATCCTTGTATATGTGTCTTGAACCTTTACCACAGCTTCCCTATAGTTGTGTTGGTCTATTTTTGTAAATTTAGGATCAATATTTATGTTTCCAAAAAGTTCCAGTTCCCCGTTTATGGTCGTTAATCTTTCGGTTATCAGGTCGATGTAAAATGTTTGCTGTAATTATAGATTTAGTTTGAGGCATTTTTTTGTCACCGGTTAGTTAGTTTTTAGTTTTACCATAACCAATCTCACGTTTGTAAGCCAACAAATTGGTATTGACATGAGCGTTTCTTGTATCATAACCATTTGGTCTTTGAGGTTTAAAAACTTGAGTATACTCAGGATCAACCAGATTCCTTCCAGAAATAACAGTTTTAGCATAGTGTAATGTTTGACCTTTCGATCAGTGCGTTGTATTGTATATTTATTGTAGATGATAAAATCGGTGATATCCATGTCGTTAAGGAGAAGTTTATGAGTGTGTCGGCTTAACAAGGCTTGGATTAGTGTACAACTTAAATCCGTTACTATCAGTATTAGTACACACCATTCCGAGAATTTGACTACTAACCCGTTCCAATTACCTGTCAAACTGTGATATCTGAACTGATAGAAACAAATTGAATTGATTACTATGAAGATAGCAACCCAGTACAGAATCTTTCCAATGCTTTCTTTTACATGAAAAGAATGTTTATCGAGAGAAAGTGGTAAAAGTCCAACACTAGAAAAAATGAGGAACAAACTCCAATGGGTGTGAATGAAGTGTTTATCCATAATGCTTTGATGGTAGACTAACTCTTCTCTGTCGTTTTAAGGTTGCAATGCAAATCGAATGAATTCATCAATATTTGATGACTGCAGCAGTTTATTACCCTAGTACATTTGTTTTACGAGCAATTACTTTCTCAAACACCAAACTGCAATAGAATGATCAAATATGTGGTAACGGCTCCAACCATCTGAAAATATAGAGTAAGGTTAGATAAAATTGTACCAATTTACAGAACATAAAATAAATAGTTACCAAATTAAGGAATTTCAAGTCAATATCAAAGAAGTCGTGCGTACAGAATACAAGTTTTTGATGCAGCAGTTGATGAGAAACCATTTCGAGGTCAATATTTGCCTGAAATTTATAAGATGATATCAGTTATTATACTATTATCAATATGATAAAGTTTATCAACACATTTTGAAACATTAGTGGAAATGGGTCGTAGGTAGCGAATAACGGATTGCCACTAGGATGGTTAAGTTGTGATATAAACTAATACCGACCAAGCAGCGGGAGCTCCAAGGGAGTACCCTATGAGCATGATAGAACTCAATAGTGATCTCTATTAAGTTTTTTCAAAATCTTCTTCTTATTCTTCTTCGCATTTCAAGCTTATTGCATATCGCATATTAGCTTATTGCGTGCGTGCTCTCAACTTAGTGTTCTAGATGCACTTCCACAGTTATTAATTGAGCGCTTCCGATGCCTGTACCATTTTTGCATTAGTATAATTGTGTGGCAAGTACCATCTTACTCTATGCCCAGGGAAGTCGAGAAATTTTCCAACCCGAAAAATTCCTAGACCGGACCGGGAATCGAACCCAGCCATCTCCAGCATGGTCTTGCTTTGTAGCTGCGCCTTTACCGACTGAGCTAAGGGAGGTTTTTTAAAAATACTGTACCCGAAAATACAACCAATGAGGGGATGTATAATTTGCTTACAATAATGAGGGATTCATCATCGTAGGTGTTAGAAGAGGCCACATGAACGTAGAATGAGATATACCGTGCTGCGGCCCAATGCAAGAACATTGAAAAAGAAAAATGTGGAGTGTATTAGTGAGTGAAGTGATTCATGTCGAAAAAAAATGGAAAAAGGTTGCCGACTGGACTCGAATAACGAACGTTGCGATTATCAGACCTATGCACGGCACGATTTGCTGCCACAATGCTTTGAATTTCTCTGCTGGTATCATAATCGGCGGTGACCAGTGAGCCCAAATACACGATCTCGTTGGCCACCTCGATTTCGTAACCGTCAATCTGAATTCGGGGTTGGGAGGCTAACATTCTCTTCCCTAGAACCTCTTTGTCTCATGTAATTCGTCTTCGATGCAATGATGGCAAGTCCAATCCGCCTGGCTGATTGACATCCAGCGGCTCGAAAAGAAAGGCTTATATCTCCCTAGGGGAGACAACTGGGGTATAGATTGCTGATCCAGTCTGATTGGTTGATTTTCAAGTTTAAGATGGATTTTTTGTTTTAAATGTGTACAAAATTACTGCCAGAATTGATTTCGCACGGATCATGTTCAACAGGAGCTGCAGGATCGATTGTAGAACATGCGAAGAAGATGTCCTGTCTTGTCTTAGATATCTCCGAAAGCTATACTAAAGATGACTGTTCATCACGATGAACCTTAGGCACAAAACTTACTTCCTGCGAAACTACCCTATTACAAAATTACCTTAAATGAACGATAACCCAAATAATTGAAATATTCCACAAATGGTTTGGAGGATATCCCGAACGTGTTAAGCAAAATAACCATAACAATTTTATTAGGGTGAAGAATTACGAAAAATCTGACATTATTGAACCGACATTGAACTACAATTGGCCTGCCCTCCCCTTGGCTAGTTTTTGCACCTTGCTGTTGGTGGGCGGGCTTAATTTCATGCTTTTTAGTGGAGTGTTGGAAACGGTGGGTTTATGGCCGGCGTTGCTGGCTCATGCCGCGATAGAATGGCGCCATGGGCAGGCAATGGGGATTACTAAGCTTACCCTCTTTGATAAACCACTGCATGAAAGAACCAAAGATCTAGGCTAGCAGTGATAGTATCACACTTGTTACTCCTTTTATTGAGAGCCGCGTCGTAGTACGCTTATGTATAGGCACTGACGTTGGGTGTGATACTGGCGGGTTTTGCCGCAAATCACTCTTATTTTTAATTTTTTCGCAGATAGATTTATTTGGGTTTGCAAGGGAATTATACTATTGAAATATTTCAGAAAGTGCCCAACAGTGCTTCTTCTACTTGCATGACAAGCTTTTATTGTTGTTTTCATTGAGGTATTACTCAGGGAACAATGCTAAACACCATGTTTGTACATGGTATTGTAACTAATCTTATATGTGCTTAATTTTGATTTGGGATAAGTGTTTGAACTATGACTCGGGATTTCCACTGTGGTGTGCTTCTATTGTGACATACCCATATGTATTTTTGTGGTGCTACATAGTGGAAACGTGAGAGCGTAATTGGAACATTTACCTTATACAATATACAATTTAAAATTAGCTTGGAAACTAACTTCAAAGTGAAGCATTTTAGTAACTTGAAGGTGTCACCTGGGACGAACAAAGATATAATTAATGTCAAAGCCAGAAGTACTTGAAACACGTTAAATTTTAGTTTAAAAGCATGGGTTATGATTGTGTAGGTAGATTAGAGATTTCAGTTATTTATTAAATAAACTTCAATTAGAGAATTCAGTAAGTTAATTAACATAAGAGATAGGACGCGGGGGGTCCGCTTGGGGAGGCGACTAGCCTTTGAAGTTGTATAATAAATCTTCCTATTTAGTGTATTTGTTAATTACAGACAATGTCAATAGCGAAAGTCATATCTTCAACCAGGCGCTTACGAACAAGTGAAGTTTTAGGAAAGATGTGTTAAATATGTTGATAGGTTTGAAATAAGAATTAGGATTGTTGTGCTTTAGTTTTCGGTAAGGTATGATGTGTCAACAAAACCCTTTTGAGCAAATTTTCAAACATCAAATTGATTGAGTGATTTATTGACATTGCGTTGCGAAAATTGACAAGCCATACATCTAACATAGTAGTAGTAGCAGTGTCGCATAATCTTATCACAATTACTGCAAATAGTGCTGGAGGGGCCGGCAGGGCTGAATACGGATCAAAACTAACATAACTACTTACACTAAAATGATCCCGGAACTAACACTTATCCATTGCACTTTTAGTTATATATTAGTTTTATTTTTCTACTAAGTCATCTATGCTTCTTTCTATTGTTTGGATCAAGTACAACTAATACTAATCTACTTTTATGTATGTTTTACTTCCTTTTAACCCATTATCTTTATGAATGGCGACTCATATGACGTGAGACACGTACAAGCTGGAACTCACAGAATTACTTCGAACAGGATATCAAACAAATTCAGGGCCAATCCAAATGAGACCAGAAACCAACAAAGCATCGGGGGGCGTTATATACTCGGACAGGTATTTTATAAATAATCAAAAAGTGGTAAGTTAAAATCATAGTGGAGCCAAGGATCATGAGAGGTAATTGTCAATAATTCATTAATTAGTAGAAATCTCGATAACTTTTTCAAGGGAGCGTATCGGCTTTTGTAGGCGGTGCGTTTGGTCGTCGATTTGGCGTAGCTGGTGGCTCGCCCACGCATGCTGGCACTATCATCAGATAGGGGAAATTTTCCTCTACCTGCTAGTGGTGTTGGTAAGCGTCTGCGAGCTGCCGGTTGCGCCGGATCGACGATCGGATGCATTGTTTGCAGGAGTTGGTGCTTCCCTTTGAAAAAGTAATCGAGAAATAACCATATTATCCTGTAATTGATATAACTATTTTTATATATCAATGAAATTAGTCATGACAGAGTAAAAGAACGAGTTTAAAAATAGATGGGGAAGGACAATAGATACAAGTTGACACAATAAACAAGACAAGTGGGGGTTAATACACAAGACAAAATGACAAAATAAGTGACAATACAAGACAAGACTGGGACAAAAATCAACCTTTTAAAAAAACAAGAATGCGCAATTATATTATCAAAACTATTTGGATCAACACAAAAACAACAGTGACCAAACGGGCTCCACAGCCTAGGAACGTCTGTGTGTTGATTTAAAATAGAGGCTCATAGAAGCAGAATTTATCAATAAAAGGGGTCCAGTGTAGAGTTTAAGCAAGTATATGCTGCCACTGTGATCACTTCAAAAAAAAAGACATTGAACTACAATTGGCCTGATCAAATGATTGTTGATTTTCAACACTTTTTCTTCGGTAAATTTAATGGAAAAATGATTGATTGAATTGGTTTGTTCCTTATTTATTTTTTCTTATTCTTCACTCCTGTATTTAACGTCAGTCTCTGTTCCTCAATCTAGTGCCAATTACCGACGGACATCAATTGCCATCCATTGACAGCAATCGAATGTGCAGGAGGCAGCTTCCACACCTCCGTAGGATATTGCACCCATTCAACACACATGGCCGGACCAACGCCTTTACTTCCCTTGCGAAGGAAGACAGATATTTTAATGCTTCAGAAAAATCCCACCGTCCTCAGCTGGGATTGAACACCTAGACCCATTGGGGTGAGAAACCAGGCACGCTTACCACTACACTACGTTAGCTCCTGGGAGGGAAAAGCAGACTTGAAAAATATGAACGCCAAAGGAGCCAGAATCAAGCTGTTACAAAATGTCATTGGGAGCCAAGCAGTTTGATGATGCTTTTCTTATAGTTCAACCAGAATACACAAGACGATATTGAAATCTTGCGTAAAGTAATTTAAGACAAACTGTCTTTTCCAGCTATCTTATTCAATGTGACACCGTTTTTTGAATTCATTAATTGAATATACTTAAATCAATATTGAAAGATACAACTTACCAAGGTTTCTGTCCAAATATTTAGAGGCCCATTAATAATGGCACAAATTTTCATGACAAGAAGAACAAGTACATAATGAATTCCGTGTATGCTATCTGCTTCTTCC